TCTCGCGCTTTGTTTGCATACATATCATACCTACACACCCTCTCTCCGTCCTTCTCCTCCCCTACCACCTCGCTCCCTTATCCTGATGGCGCCGTCCACCACAACGACACTTAGCGGCGGGCCTCTCTCTCTCTCTCTCTCGCGCGCGCGCGCTTACATGTATATATTGTCACATTGTGAATCGGAGCGCAAAGGCGGAAAAAGACAAAACAAAAAAAGGAAAGAAGGCTCCGCCTGTTCATCACCTCTTACGTACAAGGCCAGCCACGTGGATGACATACATATGTATATTATATGTATACATACATATTATATGTATATATGCATATCCTTCCCCTCTCTATCTACCGCTTCTCGCCTCTCCTCATACTTACGCATGTCTAATGAGTACACAATGTGTGGAGCAAACGTTCATCTTCCAATTCATACGGAGTCAGCGACAGTGTTAATGTCGCCGACCAATTAATCAACCAATTGACCCATCATTAATATTAATAAACCGAAAATCAGTCATATTCAAAAAACAAAAACACATTCCGCATCAATCCGCCTTTCAACACCCCTCTTTAACTATCCATCACCACAACACCTATTGCAGATAAACCCTCCATCGCCGACCTAATTCGATCATCCAATCATCCAATCAATCATCCAATCAATCAATTAATCCATCACCTCACGGGCGTTCAAAGGCAATCAAAAATCAATCACTCCTCAAGTGGCCGTCTCTCATCACGCTCACTTACAGGTCGCCTTGGTTTCACTGTCCCCCGTGCTCGTAAGAAAAATGTGCTTCACGCACCAAAACAAAATCGATAAAAAAAAAAAAGATGAACCACCACTATCGCCTCACAGGCTTCATACGCGTGCCAGACGACAGTGCAAACGTTTACACTACGTGTATTATTAATTCAGTAGTAATAATCAAATCAACTCATTCGCGACTAATCATTGGGAGGAGAAGGAACAAACGCACATTCAGTGGGGGCCCGTACTAACCTTCTTGTACTTCTTCGCCCGCGGCTCTCTCTCCAAAGACCTGTCCAAACTTCCATTCTAGAGGAGGAGGGGGTACTAAATGAGAGGACCCACCCCCGGACGGCACCCCTCCTCCACTAGATTTGATGTGGTCCCCACCACCTCCGCCGCCTGAAGCCCCACCCACCCCAACACCATTCATCATCCTCTAGAAGAAGCTCCCTCAATTTCCTTTTCCCACCTTCTCCTTGCACCCCTGTTATCTTTCAATACCAAAATCCCCCCTCTCTCCCTCCCTCCCTCCCTCCCTCCTCCCTCTCTCCCTCCCTCTCTCCCTCCCTCCCTCTCTCTCTCTCTCCACGTCCTCTCCTCCCTTCGCACTGCGTTTTCTCTCTCCCCCACCCCCCCTCCCCCCCTCTCCCCTCCCTCCTCCCCCCTCCTCACTCCCCCACCCCGCCTCCCCCCTCCTCTCTCCTCCTATCAACACCC